TAGGTCCAGGTATAGGTCCAGGTCCAGATATAGGTCCAGGTCCAGATTTAGGTCCAGGTATAGGTCCAGGTCCAGATATAGTTCCAGGTATAGGTCCAGGTCCAGATATAGGTCTAGGTCCAGATATAGGTCCAGGTCCAGATATAGGTCCACGTCCAGATATAGGTCCAGGTCCAGATATAGGTCCAGGTCCAGATATAGGTCCAGGTATAGGTTCAGGTCCAGATATAGGTCTAGGTCCAGATATAGGTCAGGGTCCAGATATAGTTCCAGGTCCAGATATAGGTTCAGGTTAGATATATGTCTAGGTCCAGATATTGGTCAGGGTCCAGATATAGTTCCAGGTCCAGATATAGGTCCAGGTCCAGATATAGGTCCAGGTATAGGTCCAGGTATATTGGTCCAGGTCCAGATATAGGTCCAGGTCCAGATATAGTTCCAGGTCCAGATATAGGTCCAGGTCCAGATATAGGTCCAGGTCCAGGTATATGCCCAGGTCCCACCGCGATCTCTGAGGTCAGCAGACCAGATGCTTCTCTCAGTCCCAGAAACCCGTCGTAAGCTCAGGGGTGACAGGGCTTTCTCTGTTGCAGGTCCACGACTGGGGAATGAGTAGCCACTGAGTGTCCGGCAGGCTCCCACACTCTCAGTCTTTAAGTCTCGCTTGAAGACCCACTTCTATTCGCTTGCCTTTAACACGGTGTGATTTGTTTTGGCCCGGTCTGTTCTTTACTCTGTTGGCCATTTTAGTTAGCTTCTGCTGCTATTTGTATCTGTATTTCTATTTTATGTTTTCCTGTCCGCTGTGCATGTTTGGTTCTTTTGTACAGCACTTTGGTTGGCCTCGTTGCTGTTTTAAGTGCTATATAAATAAATTGGTATGGTATGGTATGGTAGGTCCAGACATAGTTCCAGGTCCAGATATAGTTCCAGGTCCAGATATAGGTCCAGGTCCAGATTTAGGTCCAGGTCCAGATATAGGTCTAGGTCCAGATATGGGTCCAGATATAGGTCCAGGTCCAGATATAGTTCCAGGTCCAGATATAGGTCCAGTTCCAGATATAGGTCCAGGTCCAGATATAGGTCCAGGTATATGTCCAGGTCCAGATATAGGTATAGGTCCAGATATAGGTCCAGATATAGTTCCAGGTCCAGATATAGTTCCACGTCCAGATATAGGTCCAGGTCCAGATATAGGTCCAGGTCCAGATATAGGTCCAGGTCCATATATAGGTCCAGGTCTAGATATAGGTCCAGGTCCAGATATAGTTCCAGTTCCAGATATAGGTCCATGTCCAGATATAGGTCCAGGTCCAGATATAGGTCCAGGTATAGGTCCAGGTCCAGATATAGGTCCAGTTATAGTTCCAGCTCCAGATATAGTTCCAGGTCCAGATATAGGTCCAGGTCCAGATATAGGTCCAGGTCCAGATATAGGTCCATGTCCAGATATAGTCCCAGGTCCAGATATAGTTCCAGGTCCAGATATAGGTCCAGGTCCAGATATAGGTCCAGGTCCAGATATAGGTCCAGGTATAGGTCCAGATATAGGTCCAGGTCCAGATGTAGGTCCAGGTCCAGATGTAGGTCCAGGTCCAGGTGTATCTGAAAGACAAACACATTAAGGATAGAAAAAATAATTACAATTACAAAACAGGTTGAGCAGAGTAAGTAAAGACAGCAGCAGAGTGAAAAGTGTGGTCAGTTTGTCCTCCAGCAGTCTAAGCCTATAGCAGCAGAACTAAGGGACAGCTCAGGAAACCCAAGCCGACCCTAACTATAGGATTTATCAAAAAGGAAAGTCTTAAGTCTAGTTTTAAAACTGGACAATGTGTCAGCCTCAAGGACAGAGATTGGAAGTTGGTTCCACAAGAGAGGAGCCTGAGAACTGGAAGATCTTCCTCCCATTCTGTTTTTGTAAATTCTAAGAACCACAAGTAAACCTTTTATTTTCATTCAACCTTTATTTAAACAGATAAATCACATTGAGCCTCAAAGACTCATTTACAAGTGAGACCTGTTTGGACAGACAAAAACTGTGGTTAACTGGACACTTGGAGGAGTTGGAGGCGAAAAAAATTCTTATCAGACTTTTTTCTCTGCCTGAGAAAAAAACCCCTCTAAAAATAAAAAAAGACCTCGCACAAACAAGCACATAGTGACGTAGACATTCTGCAGAGGGGGGAGCCGAGAGCAGTCAGCAATGTTCATAGATGCTCTCGAGGTCACTGTAAGAGTTCTGATAAGGATAGAATAATCAGCCAGTGTCCTGATGCATGCTCAATAATCCAGGTAGAAAAATCTAAAAAAGTTAAATCTGGTCCTCTGGACATTCAAAAAATTGTTTTTTTGAATGTCCAGAGGACCAGATTTAACTTTTTTAGAATCAGCCAGTGTCCTCCGGTGGGGCAGCATGGTGGCACAACTGGTAGAGCTGCTGCCTCTCAGCGAGCAGGTCCCTGGTTCAAACCCCGGTCCAGGGGCCTTTCTGGGTGGAGTTTGCATGTTCTCTCCGTGCATGCGTGGGTTTTCTCCGGGTGCTC